ATTAAAAGGCATGAAAATGGACAAGTTCAGCTGGGCTTGGTGGCTCAGCCTGTAATCTCACACCTTCGGGAGGCTGAGGTGAGTGGATTGCCTGAGCCCGCGGGTTTGAGACCCGCCCAGGCAACTTGGTGAGACCTCATCTCTACAATAAACCAAAATATTAGCCGGGCATGGTAGCACGCGCCTGTAGTTCCGGCTACTGGGAAGGCTGAGGCGGAAGGATTGCCGGAGCCCAGCAGGTCGAGGCTGCGATGGCCGGGAGCGGCCACTGCACTCCAGTCTGGGCGACAGAGGGAGACTCCGACTCAAAAAAAGAAAATGGACAAGTTCAAAAACTGTTTTGAGCAGTGGAAAGAGCATCTGGATAGGTGTATTGTCTCAAATGAAGAGCACTCTGAAGGCGACTAAAGTTTAAACGCATAAGAAGGAATGCACAATCTCTATAAATAAATTTTGGTTTTGGGGGTCCCCCTCGTATTATGGCTAAGAAGGACAGTTAATGTTCAGCATGTGCGTCCTTCCTCTCCTTCCTTCCTTTTTTCTTTCCTTCCTGGATTTACGTGCCAGGAAGGAGCCACTGTAAATTGCTCGTTTTTCTCCATTTGTAGTTTCAAGGCGAGGGATTTTTATTTGGTCACCAAAGTTTTTACTTTGGGTATGGTTGATTGTTATCTCCTTTTTTTTTCTTGTTTTAGTATCATTAGGATTTGAAACTTGGCCTTTTAAAAAAATTTTACTCATTCTTCCCAGGCTCTTCATTACCACCTGTATGCTGAAGGCTGTTAAATCTGTCATTACAGCCTAAGCATCTCTTGTAAACTCCAGACATGCTTCTCTTTGCCTACTGAACTTTTCCACTTGGATGTTCCAGGGGCATTCTCACGGTAACATCATCTCCATCCCACCCATTCTTATCTCTCATGTTTTGAATCTTGGGTAATGGCATCTCCTTTTTCTCCATCACCTAAGCCAGAATCATGGGATTTATCTTCTATATACAAGCACTCACCACATTCTATCAGTTCTTTTTCCTAAACATGTTTGGTATCAATCCTCTCAAGCATGATCACTATTAAAGTTTTAGGAGAAAGTAAAATATACCAAGAGCAAGAGATTGTTACTGCAGGAGAAAAACCTATGATTAACCCAAAGCAACATCACCTGGTCATGGGTCTCGGGCTTAGCTTACAGGTCCAAACACTGGCCTTCCAGGTAGTTCACTTAGAGATATTCAGATTGTCATTGAATGACATTATATAAATTCAAAGAAAATCAACGTATAAGCCGGGCTTGGTGGCTCAGCCTGTAATCCCAGCGCTTTGGGAGGCTGAGGTGAGTGGATTGCCTGAGCCTGCAGGTTCAAGACCCGCCTGGGCATCTCTACAATAAAATCAAAAATTAGCCGGGCGTGGTAGTGCATGCCTGTAGTTCCAGCTATTTGGAAGGCTGAGGTGAAAGGATCGCCGGAGCCCAGCAGGTCGAGACTGTGGTGGCCGGGAGCGGCCACTTCACTCCAGTCTGGGTGACAGAGTGAGACTTCAACTCAAAAAAAAAGAAAATCAATGTATAAACCTAAATGCTAATTCATCATCTTTCATGATGTTGGCTCATTAGAGTGATATGAATGCTTAGGACTCTAATCTAGGAAAATCCTTCCTGGTATGTTAAAGTACCTAAAAAGCTAAATCTGAACAGTGCTACATTTGGGCACTGAACTTGATTACAGCAGTGGAAGGGTGGGTGTTTTAGAGTGCTATTTCATCCAGGTAGGATGTGACTAGAATGCTTTGTATCTTTCAATAGTTGCATCTTTCTCCCCCTAGACATGGCTATACCACCAAAATTTATTTTTTAACCCGACTTTCTGATAGTGACCAGTTGATGCATTGTTTTAAGGTTTTGCCTTTACTAATTAAGATTTAATCTTATAGCTATTTTCAATTATTAGAACGTTGTTTCCTCTTATATAAGGATTTAATTTTTTTCAAAATTCAGTTTGACCTCAAGATCAATAGAGAGTAAAGGCCACCTAGAGAAAGTATAGAAATAGTCAGTACGTATTTCAAAAATAAGAACATAGAAACTTTTTTTTTTTTTTGAGTAGGAGTCTCACTCTGTCGAAGCTGTGGTGCCCAGGAGCTGCCACTGCACTCCAGCCTGGGCAACAGCCTCAGCCTTCCAAGTAACTGGAACCACAGGTGCGTGCCACCACACCCAGCTAATTTTTTTATTTTTATTGTAGAGATGAGGTCTCACCAAGCTGCCCAGGCTGGTCTCGAACCCTGGACTCAGGCACTCTCACCTCTGCCTCTCAAAGTGCTGGGATTACAGGTGTGAGCTACTGTGCCCGACTGAACATGGAAATATTTAAAGAGCCAGTTCAATTTCTGTGTGCCTTTTAGTGGGTGTAAAGCTACTATTATACTGAGCAAAGATACTTCATTATATCCATTATCACCAATCTTCCAAATAGCCCTTTGAGGTAGGTGTCCTTTCTCTGTTTTAAAGATTAAGAAATGATGACACGGCTTAAGATGTGTCTTCAAGATCTGCTCTGAGAACCCTCAGGCTTCACACAGAGCATCAGGAGTGTCACAGATAATGACTTAAGGATACATTCACTGAATAGAAAGTGACGGTCTACCTGAGGAATCCAGGCTCTTACAGTGTTATCTGTTTTGGTAAAGAAAAGTTTTATTCCTTAAAAATGTTTTTAAACCACAGACCTAGCTTGTCAGACAAATTGAACTGTGTATGGTTTTCATATAATGCTGGCTAAATGAGACATAGTTGTAAAGTACTTTCTCTCTTAGTTTCAATCTTGAACTTTTTTAGAGTACTTGAGCTATATCTGTCATTTATGCTCTATATCATAATTTATTCTAATTTATTTCTAGTGCAGCATTATTTATTTAGCAGACAGCTTGAGTTTTCAGTTATGTCAGGCCATCTAGGTGCTGTGAATATAGTGGCTGATAAGACAGGCAAGATCCTGCTCTCAAGGTGCTTATGTTCTAGTGGGGGCAGTTAATTTGATAATAGAAAAATATGAGTTATAAGTGGTGTTAGGACAGTAAAACAGGCCAGGCATGATGGTTCACATCTGTAATCCCAGCACTTTGGGAAGTGGAAGTGGGAGGATTACTTGAGCCCAGGAGTTTGAGACCAACCTGGGCAACATAATGAGACCTCATCTCTACAAAATTTTTAAAATAGCCAGGCCTGCTGGCGCTCACCTGTAGTCCCAGCTACTCAGGAGTTTGAAGCAGAAGAATCATCTGAGCCCAGGAGGTCGAGGCTGCAGTGAGCATTGATTGTGTCACTGTACTCTAGCCTGGGCAACAGAGGGAGACCCTGACTCAAAAACAAGAAAAGGAAGTAAAGCAGGTTGATATGGTGGAGAGAAAGAGAAGAGGTCCTTCTGTGGGATCTCTGGAGAAAGCCTCTCCTAGGAGATGACAGTGAAGCTGAGACCTGAGCAACACTAAGGAACCAGCGATGCACAGGATTAAAAACAGGGACCATGGAGAAATGAGATGTTAGGATTCAAATGGACCTTGGGGCAGGGGAGCATAACTTTCTAAGCTTAGAATTTAATAGCAATAATCAACCACAGAGGAAAAGCTTGTCAGGTTTGCTAAGGTCAAATGTATGGACTTTTGAATTCCAAAAAAAGTGGCAAACACTTCTGAAATAAGTATTTTAGCATATAAAATATGCACCGGATCAAGATAATTACTCTAGAAGAAGCTTGCATAGGTAATAACAAAAATAGAAAACTCAGCAGTCAAGTGGCAAAGAAGCATGACAAGGCTGTTCTCAGAAGAGAACATGTATAATTCATAGGCAGTACCAGGAATCAGGGAAATCCAACTGAATTAGGAATTTTTTAAAATCTACTAAATTAACTTAAACTTTTCTTTTACTAATAGCTCATACTAGAGAGAGTATAATGCAATTGTCATTCTCATAAATTTAATATAATATAAGGATTATATAAGGATTTGATTTTTTTCAAAATTCAGATTTGACCTCAAGATCATTAGAGAGTTAAAAATAAGAACATGGAAACTTTTTTTTTTTTTTTTTTTTTGAGTAGGAGCCTCACTCTGTCCAGGCTGTGGTGCCTGTAAGCTGCCACTGCACTCCAGCCTGGGTGACAGCCTCAGCCTTCCAAGTAGCTGGAACCACAGGCATATGCCATCATGCCCAGCTAATTTTTTGATTTTTGTTGTAGAGATGAGGTCTCGCCAGTGACCCTATTAATTCGGAAAATTTGCTTTCGAAAAGCACTTTGACAATGTGTACCAAAATCCACACAAAAATATCTCTCTTTCTGGGATTGGCAGTAGTGGGAAATGCCAGGGGAGGGGGGGTAGGATTGGTAGTTGAGGGAGAGCACACCTCATCAACAAGGGTACCTGCACAATGAACATTTGTATACCTAACCCCAAATTGTACCCTACATCTTTAAAAAATAAATAAATAAATAAATAAAATATCTCTCTTTTCCCAATAATTTCACCTTGTGTCAACTTACTTTAAATAAAAAGCAAAGTATTCGAGGGAAAATAAACATTTACACTCAAACATGCCTACATTATTTTAGTAGATATTTGGTAACAACCAAATGTTTGACAGCAGGGAAATGTTTGAGTAAACTAGGATGCATCCACTCAATGACATGTCATACGCACATGAAGAAGAATGGCTGTGACAGCTACAGCAACAAGAAGACGTGCTTTTGCTACAGTGAGCAATGGCAAACAGCAGCATGCAAAGTTGTCTGTATACTCTTTGCAATTGTTTTTTATGTGTGCATGAAAAAAGTGGTAAGGGGACATACACCAAAATGTTAATGATGTATCAGGGTTGTGCGATAAAAATTTTAACTGATACATCTTAGAGAAAAATCAGCTTTTCTCTAGAATCTTCAAACTTACTTAAAACCTAAATGACAATAAAAAGAAATGGACTCACTGTTCATCTTTCCACAAAAGAGCTTTGAAGGAACAATTGTATGGGAGAGCCAAGACCGCCACGGCCTTGTGTCGAGAAATCTTCACAAAGTGACGGTGAACGATGGAGGTGGTGTTCTCCGAGTCATTACGGTAAGTTATCCTTTATTTTTCAAGACTGTTTAGTAACATACTTTGGTTTTTTTATTACATAAAAGTGTTCTAGAATTTACTTGTACACCAACCCAGGCAGTATGGAGTGATTCCTGTGTTTGTTAGAATATATAATAGAAAATGTTGTTGAGTCACTATAGTGAAAAGGAAAACTCCAAATACAATTCTGTAATGCCAACATTAGTGAATATACAACTTTGTTTTAAAATCGGTACATTTTTAATGTGTGGTATTTTATTTCTCAGTAATTTTTAAGTTAGCACTCTTTCAGACCCCTTGTTCAGTACTATTCAGAATATTCAGATAGAAATATTGGAAAGTAAGATTAAGTACTTTCTTTCATTTATATTGCGGACCAGCTCTGAGATTTCTGACTCTTGTATTTCTTATTCAGACTTAATCTAAATTTAAAACAATTTGACAGGTAAATTTCTCAAAGTAAATTAAATGTAAGATAATAAAGAAGGTGTAGGAAGTAAACAAGTGGTATGTGTGGTTGTATCAGTTTTCATTCTCCTTGACGCTCTAACCTAGTGACTAGGAAGGCACTTGGCATTTAAATTCACAAGCTTAGTAATTTCATTAAATATTAACCTCATTCACATGAATTAATCTCTGAGTTCGAAATGAATAAATACCGGGTGATATGTTATTGCTCAGTCAGAAAACTTTTCCTGCGTACCTATTGTAATGCAGGCACAGTGGCTGGCAAGATAGGCCCATTACTGGCCCATGGTGGAACTTTCAATCCAGTGAGGCAGAAAGACTTTAAACAAATAGACCACAAATTCATGTGTAATTACCCAGTTCAATTTGCAGGCCATGTTCAAGATTTTAGTCATGTTTAGGATTTGGGTTTTTATCCTTTATTATGAAATTCTTAAATTTAAGATAGAAAGTCTTGCAGAATTATATTTTTTCCCTTATTTTCAAGGCAAACACCTTTAACATCTTGCCTCCTTTTCTACTTGTAAAACTTAACAATATCCAGAACATGCTACAATTTTATAGTATTTGAGTTGGTTGCACTAAAGGAAATAGATTTACTTCTGAGTTGAGGACTGAGTTCAAATGTAAAGACTCAAGCGATCTGCTGTTGGGGTAAAAATAGTCATAGAGGGTTAAAGTTCCAGCACTCAGCTACCCTAAAAAAAAAAAGGTGACTTGGTAGCACAAATGTGAAGAGCTGAGAGTTTTCAGAGTCTTACTCCCTTGCCTGCAGGCGATGATGTCAGAACACTTAAAGCCAAATTAAAAGCTAAGTTGTTACCTTTTAGTAGTTAATAAACAAAAAGTACTACCTAGTTCCAAACAAGCTAAAACAATAGAGAAAATACAATTAAAAAAAAAAGAGTATACACTCTTCTGTGGATCTACAAGGTTGGAATCTATAACATTCGCCTTTAGTAATTTTCTCAGCATTCAGCTACAAACCTCCTTTAAATTAAACAGCAAGTTACCACAGTAACCTCAGGACGCTCTCTGCTAGCCTTAAAACATTGCTTTGTATAGTACAAGTTTGCTGAAAAGTTCTGTTTAAATACTTTAAGCATGCTGAACCATAATTGACAACCTGATTCAGCCCACAGCAGCTAGAGAATGGCTCTGGTAGATGTGCTGCACTGATATGTGACATACAGAAGTAAAACAAATCACTTTGCACAAGACATTGGGTAACTTGTAAGGTGACGAGAACAACAGTCTCATAATGAAAGCCTCTGATCCTAACAGGTAGAAGGGACTATTCTTGGCTGTTGGCACGATAGTCACTAGGCACCTTAAGCAACATCAAGAATCAGTAGGGTTCTATCTGAACTATTTGGCACAGTCACTTGATTTCAAGGAGCTTTTCCCTGCATGGTCACTTAATTTTAAAATGTGCCCAAATGTATTTGAACTCATTGAGAACGTTCGATCTCCAAAAAATCAAAGGCAGTTTTTTTTAAGTGGTGAGGTTAGGATGTAAAATTAATCGAGCTTGTTTCTAAATGTAAGGACAAGAACATGATGCTATGTAAGTTGGAATTCTGAACACCATATGGACTAATAAGTATACCTTATCTTTAATACCGTAACTAGGTATCAAAAATAGTGAAATACTGTACAAGAATGTCATCCTGCTATTAAAGTCTCTGGTGCATCGGCATCTTAGATGGATTATCTGCTGCAGTGGAATCATAGTATGACTTCTGTCAAATCAATTTTAAAATACACTAATTTATTTTTAGTAATGAAATACTGAGTGTCCTTCTCATTTGTTTCAGGCTGGGGAGGGTGCATTGCCTCATGAGTTCATGGAAGGTGTGGAGGGAGTTGCAGGTGGTTTTATATATACTATTCAGGGTAAGTTGGCTAGGGGAAAGTTGAACCCTGACTCTCATATGTCTAATCTTTGTACTCTGACATAAAAGTTTTTTTGTAATTTTAATAAATTGCTTTATGGGGTAAAATTCACTCTTTTAAAGTGTCCAGCCCATTGGTTTTTAGTGTATACACAGATTTCTGTAACCATCTCACTTCCCATTCCTCCCTCCTCCCATCCCCTAACAACTACTAATGTACTTCTTTCTCTGTGGGTTTGCCTATTTTGAACATTTCATATAAATGGAATTGTACCATATGTGGTCTTAGTGTCTTGCTTTTTTTACATAGCATGTTTTTAAGGTTTGTCCACATTGTATATGTATTAGTACTTTTTTTTTTTTTTGAGTTGGAGTGCAGTGGCACACTCATGGCCATCCCAGCATCGACTGATGGGCTCCAGCGATCCTTCCGCCTCAGCCTTCCAAGTGACTGGAACTATAGGCATGCGCTACCACGCCCAGCTAATTTTTTGATTAATTGTTGAGATGAGGTCTCACCAAGCTGCCCAGGCTGTTCTCAAACCTGTGGGCTCAGGCAATCCCCTCATCTCGGCCTCCCAAAGTGCTGGGATTACAGGCATGAGCCATTGCACCCAGCCAGTACTTTTTTTTTTTAGTCCAGGTCTCACACTGTTTGCCCAGGCTGGAGTGCAGTAGCTCAATCACAGCTCACCTCAGCCTCAACCTCCTGGATTCAGGTAATCCTCCTGCCTCAGCCTCCCAAGTAGCTGAGAGAGACTACAGGCATGTGCCACCACACCTGGCTAATTTTTAAATTATTTGTAGAGAAAAGGTCTTATTATGTTGCCCAGGCTGGTCTTGAACCCCTAAGCTCACGCGATCCTGCTGCCTCAGCCTCCCAAAGTGCTGGGACTACAGGTATGAGCCACCATGCCTGGCTTTATATGCATTTTCAACATAACGATATTTTCAACTTATGATGGTTTATGAGGATGTCACCACATCATAAGTCAAAGAGCATTTGTACAATTTGACACTTGAAGTAAAGTGAAAGTGTTATAAAATTGTAGTAGCTGGAAAATGGTTATGAGAACAGGAATTAAATACAAGCCTTTAGACTGTTAAGTGCACATTTTGTTTAACTGCATATTCCTGAAAAATGTAAGTATGTATTAACATGTCAGGAACAAGAAAGAATGTCTGCTTTTGCCACTTCTAGTCAACATTTTGGTACTATATGTTCTAGCCAGGAAGATTAGATAATAAAAGTAAATAGATGGCACATGGCTGCAGTCCCAGCCACTCAGGAGTGTGAGGCAGAAGGATCGGCTGAGCCCAGGAAGTGGAGGCTCCCATGAGCCAGGATTGTGCCACTGCACTCCCGCCCGGGACACAGAGTGGGACCTCGATGGATGGGTGAATGGAAGGAAGGAAGGAAAGAAGAGAAGGAAATACATCTAATAAGCCTAACGAATTTAACACACCCAACCTGCCAAGCATAGCTTAGCCTAGCCTACCTTAAATGTGCTCAAAACACTTACATTAGCCCACAGTTGTCAAAATCATGTAACACAAAGCTTACTTTATAATAAAATGCTGAACATCTCATGAGATTTATTGAATACTCTACTGAAAGTGAAAACAGGATGGTTGTATGTGTACTCAGAGTAGGGTTTCTAGTGACGGAGAGTAGGGTTTCTTGCTTTTGCACCATCAAAAAGTCAAAAAATCGTGAGTTGAACCGGGAAGTTATTTAGATCTGTTTCTTGGAGGGTCGTCTGTGGTCTGTCTGTGATTCTGCATCAGTGTCACAGATGTGGCCATTAAAAATAGATTCCTGGCCTCCACCCAGACCTACTGAATCTTTAGGCTTGGGGCCCGGGAATCTGCATCTCAATGAGCATTGCTAAGAACCACTGATTTGGTCCAGCTCCTCCTTTTACAGAGGAGAGTGCAGTGGCCCAGAGACAGCAGAACTTGTCCAGTATCTCAGAGAGAGTGGCAGAGGCAGAAATCATGTAGAGGTCTTTAGACTCCCACCCCATCCTCTTCACCTGCAGTGATCAAGAGTAGAGTGCTAAATCACTCTTCATTTTCTTTCCTCACCCTTTAGCAGCTCACTTAATTTTTATTTTCAGAAATTTTCTTTGATTTGATTAGACATTTTAGAAAGTCCTGATTTCTGCCCTAGTGGAAGAATTGGCTGGGTGTGGTGGCTCACGCCTGTAATCCCAATACTTGGGGAGGCAGAGGTGAGAAGATTGCCTGAGCCCAGGGGTTTAAGACCAGCCTGGGCAATTTGGCAAGGCCTCATCTCTACAATAAAAAAAGGTGCCACTGTTGCAAAATTCATGTGAACCTTTCCTGTTCTTATTTTTCTACTTTCTATTAAATATTTACATATCTTTAAATAACATACAGTACTGAGTATTTCACAATGGATATAGATGGTATCATATTGTATGTATCTCAGCAACTTTCACTCAATGTTTTCTGTGCCATTCCTTTTAGCATGCAAGATCAGGTTAACTTTTTTCATTGCTTTAGTCTGTTATGTGAATATACCACAATTTGGCCGTTTTTTCTATCAGTGGCCACTTAGGTTGGTTCCCTTTTTTTTCACAATTAAAAAAATGCTACAGTGAATGTCCTTGTGACCATGTAAAATAAAATAATGTCTTCAGGGATATATCTATAAGTAGACTCAACTGAATCATAAGCTATATACATTTTTCAGCCCAATTAGATGTTGCCAAAGCTCTCCAAAGGGGATATATCCACTTATCCTCTCACGAGCAATATATGAGTTCCAATTTTCCTATCTAAAGTTTCAAACAGCTGTATTTCTGTTAGGTTATCTTGGGAAAATAATTTCAGCGTACATCATAAGTTCTGGGTCCTAAGTTTGCAACAGCATTTTTCTCCAACTCTCAACTTTTCCTTTTTAGAAGGCGATGCTCTCTTACACAACCTTCATTCTCGTCCGCAAAGACTTATTGAACACATGAGGAATCTCCAGGAGGAAGACGCTTTACTGAAGGAGGAGAGCGGCATCTATGATGACATTGTTTTTGTGAATGTTGTCGACACTTATAGGAATGTTCCTGCGAAATTACTGAATTTTTATAGATGGTAGGTTGTAAAAACTTGCTTTAGTGTTCTTTTGGGTTTTTTGGTTTTTGAGACAGGGTCTCACCATGTTGCCCAGGCTGGTCTCGAACTCCTGGACTCAAGAGATCCTCTTGAGTAGCCAGGACTACAGGTACGTGCCATCACCATGCCTGAAGTGTTGTTCTTTGCATGTAGAAACAATTTATCAACTCCAAACCACTAAGATTTCAACAAAGGAAAATTAAGAGCACTAAACTCCTGGAATGTCGCCTGTTGTATCCTGGCTCCTTGTGAAGACTAAGCTTCTAAAATGCTGCCACTCCTTATTTTGATTAGCAGATCCATAATGTGCATATTAACCTGTCAAAACCAAACAAGGTGAAAATGGATTCTCTTTGAGGCATTTCTACTTGTCTTGGTTGTTTCAAGCCAGCATTAGATGAGAATCAGTGAGTGTGGAAACGGTCCATGTTCTGTTGTATTTATCCCCATCTCAGATTCCTTTGCTGTTGTCACTTGCATCTGGGTTCCCAAGCTGAATCTTGTTCAACTGAATATTCCCCTCATATTTCCGTTCTCTACTCCATAGATTTAAAAACCACTTGCCCTGATTTTAAAACTCTTATATAGATGACATTCCACTGCTCTTATGTCTATCATATTTATCCCACACCCTCTAGTGTTTCTTATATCTTAATTTTGATTCCTACAATAAGGAATTGTGTATATAACAATAATAGCAACAAGGCTGGACTCAGTGGCTCACACCTGTAGTCCCAGCAGTTTGGGAGGCTGAGGTGGGAGGATCACTTGAGGCCAGAAGTTCAGGACCAGCATGGGCAACATGGCGAGACTCTTATCTCTACAAAAAATAAAAATAGCCGGGCTCGGTGGCTCAGCCTGTAATCCCGCGCCTTTGGGAGGCTGAGGTGAGTGGATTGCCTGAGTCCGCGGGTTCGAGACCCGCCTGGGCAGTGAGACCTCATCTCTACAATAAATCAAAAAATCAGCTGGGCGTGGTGGCGCATGCCTGTAATTCCAGCTACTCGGAAGGCTGAGGCGGAAGGATCGCCGGAGCCCAGCAGGTCGAGGCTGCGGTGGCTGGGAGCGGCCACTGCACTCCAGTCTGGGCAACCGAGGGAGACTCCAACTCAAAAAATAAAATAAAATAAAAATAAAAATAAATAAGCCAGAAGTTGTGGCATGTGTCTGTAGTCCCAGCTCTTTGGGAAGCCAAGGCAGGAGAATGACTTGAGTCCAGGAGGTGGAGGCTGTAGTGAGCTCTGATCGCACCACTGCACTCCAGCCTGGGTGACAGAGCAAGAACCTGTTTCTAAACACACATACGCAAAAAGCAGTCTTCCTGCCTCAGCCTTCCAGCGTTCTGGGATTACAGGTATGGGCCACCGTGCCTGGCTACTCTGCAGTTTTAAACAGAGGTGTATAGGGATTGTCAGTGTGAAGTAAAGGAATCAATTTTGTCTTTAGGCTGGACAGGGACTCATATCAGTAATTCCAGCACTTTAGGAGGCCAAGGAAGAAGGATTGCTTGAGCCTAGGAGTTCAAGACCAACCTAGGCAACACAGACCACATCTCTACAAAAAATCAAAAAATTAGCCGGGCATGGTGGTGCACACTTGTAGCTTCAGCTACTCGGGAGGCTGAGGCAGAAGGATCACCTGAGCCCAGAAGGTTCAGTCTTTGCTGAGTGGGGATTGTGCCCTGCCCTCCAGCCTGGGTGACAAGAGTGAGATCCTGGACTCAAAAAAAAAGTGTCTTTAACTGCTATTACATATTTTATGTCTAGATAAATGAAGTGACCCTCTGGGGCCTTTCAGAAGGTCATTTATGATGGTCCAATTGCTGGAAACTGTTACCAAAGTAAAGTAAGTTCAGTGTTGCAACTCAGTTTTTTAAAAAGCATCCAGTATCTTGAGTGTTATATAAATAGTAGCATGGACTATTTGAGGCTATGTGAGAGGCCCACACATAACACCTGATCCATTATCGGGGCCTTTGTTACTCAGATCACATGGGACAAGGTTGAAATGTGAAACTGATTGGGCAACCTGACTTGAATGGTGCCTAAGCAGCGTTTGCTTGAACACGTCTTCCACTCAGGCCAGATTTTCCTTTACCTTTTAAAATCAGCTTGGTACTTCTCCGGTGATGCCACTTAGTATCTACCAGGTAAGGGCTGGCACTGATAGTGGCAAGGTTCTATCAGAGCGTTTGTTCTTAACATTTGAGGACTAAGACATACAGGTAGTACAGGTACAATTCTGAATCAGAATGTTCGTGATGCCACCCCATTGGTGTTGCTTTGTTTCTTTGTATGACTGTGTATTCCTTTTTTCCAACAGGACTGTGGAAACAACCAGCTTTGATTTGTTGCTAAAAACAGATGATGACTGTTACATAGACTTAGAAGCTGTATTTAATAGAATTGACCAAAAGAATCTGAATGGGCCTAATTTTTGGTGGGGAAAGTAAGTTAACCATTATTAGCCCATTGGCATTCATGTACCTGATCAAATGTGATTTATTTATTTATTTTTTGAGTTGGAGTCTCACTCTGTCGCCCAGACTGGAGTGCAGTGGCCGCTCCTGGCCACTGCAGCCTCCACCTGCTGGGCTCCGGCGATCCTTCCGCCTCAGCCTTCCAAGTAGCTGGAACTACAGGCACGCGCTACCACACCCGGCTAATTTTTGATTTATGTAGAGATGGGGTCTCGCCAAGTTGCCCAGGCAGGTCTCAAACCCACGGGCTCAGGCAGTCCCCTCACCTCAGCCTCCCAAAGGTGCAGGATTACAGGCTGAGCCACCAAGCCCAGTGATTTATGATTTAAAATGAAATATGTAAGTCATCTTTTCACAAGGAAAATGTCATTGAGAGACAATTTCCTTTTATATTCTTGGGTTAATATATTGTATTACTTTACAATTAGGGGAAGTTTTTTTGTTTTGCTTTTTTTTTTTTTTAATGAAAAGCCTCAGGCTAATGTAGTGAAGGAGGGAAACCTATGTGGCTTTTATTCTCATGCCCTAGAAATAAATGGACTCACATTAGAAGCTGCTGTACATTTTGTGTAAGAATAAATCTGTGACACAGCTCTGAAGCCATTTTCTGTGCTTGGTGAGGAATACAATATGGATTTGTCTTTTGGTTTTGTTTTAGTATATACTAAAACATAGGGTGATCTAGTACTTTTCATTCAGAAACTCTAGAAATGCAACTTTGAGAACATTTAATACGCCAATCTTTTACACAAAACACCACTGGATAAATGATCATTCCTTTCCTTAGATTTTTTTTCCTTTCCTTAGATTTTTTTTTAAGAGATGGCATCTTGCTATGTTGCCAGCTGGTCTTGAACTCCTAGGCTCAAATGATCCTTCCACCTCAGCCTCCCAAAGTGCTGGGATTACAGGCATCAGCCACCGTGCCCGGTCCCTTTCCTTAAATTAAAACAGTTTTTCTTCTTTCCTCGCTTCTATAAGCTTATTCCATTGTAGTAGTAATAAAGGGATGGCAATGGTGATGACAATAGTGGCAGGCAGACCAACACAAAAAGCCACGTTATTTTCATCTCAGTTTCAGATTGAATTGGGCAGTTGACCGAGCCGGAAAGTGGCAGGAGTTGGAGTACCCTAGTCCAGCTTACCCCGCCTTTGCGTGCGGGTCAGGATATGTGATCTCTAGGGACATTGTTGACTGGCTGGCAAGCAACTCGGGGAGGCTAAAGACCTATCAGGTAATGAAGGGTTTCTTACCTGTGTGTACACTCATCAGGCCGAGTTTCATCCAGCCCACTTACCTTGGGGGAGGCATGTTATTCTTCCCATCGGAATTCCCCCTCAGAGGCAAAGGACACACTTCTCCTGTCCTTCATTGCTTAGCTTTGAGTCTTTCTTTGAACCTACTTAGCACGTTTTCAGTGTATATTTACAAGTACAGTTCCTGGGGGAAGATATTTTTCTTTATGTTGTGGAAGACCAAAGTACTTCTTAAAGACTCAGGTAAATAAGAATGAGCGTCTCTGGTGCTGTTATCTTCTCATGACCTCGTGGTGTGGGTGTTTCATGTGAATGGCCATTAGCTTTTACTTTGTGTCTCAGGTTTGGCATTTTGTATCAGAATAACAGCAAAGATGTAGAGAGTGTTTATTACGGGAGTGGGTGGGGCATTGTCTTTACAAATGAAACAGCATTTGAACTCTCACGTTTAAACTTTATGGGGCATGTACAGGGTGAAGATGTAAGCATGGGCATTTGGATGGCAGCCATAGGACCTAAAAGATACCAGGTAAGCAAGTCTTGGCGGCTTATCTCAGGGTCTTAGGAATTGAAGTTGGATTTCTGTATACAGGTTGAATATCCCGTATCCAAAATGCTTGGGACCAGAAGTAGTTCAGATTTTTTTTTTAATTTTATTTTTTAAGACTAGTGAAGTGTAGGCTAGGCATGTGGCTCATGCCTGTGATCCCAACACTTTGGGAGACCAAGGTAGGAGGGTTGCTTGAGCCCAGGAGTTCAAGATCATCCTGGGCAACACAGTGAGACCATGTCTCTACAAATTAGCCATGTGTGGTAGCATACACCTGTAGCCCTGGCTACTTGGGAAGCCGAGACAGGAAGATCATGTGAGTCAAGGAGCTTGCGGCTGCAGTGATCCAGGATCATGCCACTGCACTCCAGCCTGGGCAACAGAGTGAGACCCTGTCTCCAAAAAAGCCTGGTACAGTAGTGAGAAGGAGGGAAAGAGTAGAACAAGGAGTTAGACTGTACCCGACTGTGAGTCAACTGAGATAGTTCACTACTTTCAGACCAACCTGGATTTTAGTTATACTTACTAGTTTAGCCTCCCAAATCCAAAACTCTGAAATGCTCCAATGATCATTTCCTTTGAGTATCATATCAGTTCCCAAAAAGTTTTGGATTTTGGATTTTCAGATTTGGAATGCTAAACCTTGAATGTATATCAAACTGTGGCAGAAAGAATAAAGATCTTCTAGTATTCTACCTGTGCTCTTGATTTAATTCACAATAATCGACCTAGATTATTTCTCTTACAGTACTTTTCTGAGTTTAAACCAGAAGGAAATATTATGAATAGTGTTTCCCTACCTACAAAGAAGAATTAGGTTTTCAAAGGTTTGATCAGAAATTCTTTGCAGCTTTAAAACTTAATGACAGAATCCACTGACTTGAGTGTGGCAGTCTAAGGACCCTTCAACCCTTCTGACTGATTCAAATAAGACACAGGATAAAATAGTATAAGACAGCATTAAAACACACAGATTGCTGAACCCGAAAAAAACTGACTCTGCAGAGACCAAAACAGAAACCGGGAGCCCTGGGAAGAAAGCACAAAGCTGGCGTTTGCCTCAGAGACAGCTATCTGCTGAATTCTGGATTCTCGCAGCTTCCACTTTGGCCATGGAAGGTGCAGGGACAGAAGGAACATGCAGTGCCTGTCAGTCAGGAACCCTGCAGAGGTGGGCCCACAGAGCAGCACTCCCAGTTCGGGGTGAACAAGAAATAAGCCTCGATCTGTGTGGTCAGCTTGATCGCCTGCTCCTTGGTCATACTTTCAGTCCCATCTTTGACTCTAAACTTAACTTTGAATATAATTACGTTATTCTGTATCTGATGTCTGTGGTCTTTGCAGGTCTGATTCTGCAGTTTTGTTTCTACAGATTATTGTTTAGGGGGCTTGTTTCCTGATGTGTTGACCATTATTATTATTTTATTTTTATTATTATTATTATTACTGAGTTGGAGTCTCAATCTGTTGCCCAGGCTAGAGTGCGGTGGCATGCTCATGGCTACCCCATCATCAACCTGCTGGGCTCCAGCGATCCTTCCGCCTCAGCCTTCCAAGTAGCTGGACTACAGGCATGCGCTACCATGCCCAGCTAATTCT